GAAACAGGCCGGGCTAGGGGAGCAGAATGCTTGGGAGGTTTGCCTAGAAGCCTTGGAGAATGATCAGGGAGGCCTCTGGATTGGTGGAGGCAGTATAGTCGAAGGCCAGTGGGGTGTGGTGCTTTGGGAGTCCTGGGCCGGGAGGCGTGGCCGGCTGTGGCTTCATCCACCAGCTAGACCACATGCCAAGCACACACCACCAGTGTGAAACAGGAATGCACCTTGCCCGAGGAGCCTCTGAAGAAAAGGCAGCCCCACAAAGCCCACGTGGGGGTAATATGACAGCTCATAAAGTAAAGATGCAAAGGAAGCAGAGCTGGAAGATGGTAGAAACAAACAAACCCCAAACCTGAAGACAAGAAAACCTGAAACTAAGAGCAACAGCACGCAGCGTGGCTCACCTGTGAGCTGCTGGGGGAAGAGGAGGCTCAGGAGACAGAGCAAGGGGCCTCGGCCCACAGATCAGAAGAGGAGGACTTGGGAGAGCATCTTCCTGTTGAGGGTCAAACAGGCTTGGGAGTCTTGAAGTGGAGGGTGCAGGGGTGTGGGGGGTGGGGGGAGGCAGGTAGCATTTGTCTCATTGATTTTGTAATTTCTGAGATGTATAGAACTGGAGCAAGCAGCAAGCAGCAGAATGGAGCCCATTTATTACCCAGCTCTTTAAACCCATGATGCTGGAATGGTGTGCACATTATCAACAGCTGAGTGGAAATTAGCTAGCTGAGTTCAAGCAGGAATAGGATTGGCTTTGTTCTTCTTTGTTTTGTTTTTCTTTTCTAAGTCTTAATGTTTTCCAGTGTTAGATCGACTAGCTGCGTATAATATGACAAACAAGAAACTGACCCAGGTTATTTGAGAGCTGATAACACTAAGCACCATTTTAGATAATTGTTTTAGTCGCGTTAACTCCAGGGCACAGATACATGGAAGGAGAAATAACTCAGTAGAATTCAGCATAGGATTCATTTCCAGTAGTCTTAAAGGATGAAATATGCCCACAGTTGTACTACTTTTTTTTTTTTTTTGAGGGGAGAGGTAGGGTTTGAATTCAGGGCCTCTTGCTAGGCAAAGGCTCTGCCATTTGAGCTCCGTCTCAATCTCTTTTGCTTTCATTATTTTTTTGAAGATAGTCTTACATATAGCCATTGTGGACCACAGTCCCCCTAGTTAAACTTCCTGTGTTGATGGGATAATATGTGCATGGTATTGGGGCCAGCTTTTGGTTGAGATGCGGGCCTCATACACTCTTTGTCCAGCCTAGCCTCAAACTGTGATCCTCCGGAAATATGCATCCTGCGCAGCTGGGATTACAGACGTAAGCCACCATGCCTAGCTGAAGAGGTTTAACTCAAGGAGAGTGAAGCATCTTTATTTTGGGGGGGGGGAGCGGTCGTGGGGCCTGAATTCTGGGCCTGGGCGCTGTCCCTCAGCTCCTCAGCTCAAGGCTAGTGCTCTACCACTTGAGCCACAGTGCCACTTCTGCCTTTTTCTGTTTATGTGGTGCAAAGGAATTGAACCCAGGGCCTCATGCATGTGAGGCAAGCACTCTACCACTGAGCCACCTTCCCAGCCCCTAGACCCTTTGTTAAAGAGTCCCCAGAGAATCCTATCACTCTTTCTACCATATGATAACACAGCAAGAAGACAGCCGTGGTCCAGGAGTGGTCTTCACAAGACACCTCCCAGCTTCCAGAACTCTTAGCAATAAGTTCCTGGTTTTTATAACCACTATGTGTGTGTGTGTGTGTGTGTGTGTATGTGCATGCATGTGCACATACACAAAAATACACATATATGTATATATACTGTATATGTAAATACATTATATTATACAACATATAATATATTGTATATATTAGCTGGAGTGGACTAAGACCCTTTTAGTCTACAAGCTTCTTCATGCAATTTTCTATGAAGCATTGTCTAGAATATTTGTAGTCCCACCAAAACCTGACAGTATTCTGCTTGATACTGTTTGTTAAATAGTCTGGACAACCATGTACAGTTTCAGAAAACCAAAATGTGTTGTTCATTTTAATTATTCCAGTGATAATGAATGTAGCAATGTTGTTCAGACACTTCCAATGCATTCACATGAAGGAGTACGCTGTTCACCTACACCCTCTGGAAGAAGGGAATAGGAAGAAGCACAGCCGAGATTCTCACAAGGTCATCATGCAATGAACGTAACTCAAGTTTATCACTCGAAGGGAAAAATGACCCAACTTCCCCTGTAACTCAGCACTGCATCTCCATTCTTAGTGGCACATCTACCTCTGCCCATTGGTTCTGTCTCGCTTTCCCAATTCAGCTCTGGTTTTAGGAAGATGCCATGACACCGGCCTCATCCCACACATGCTCACAGACCCACGGCTTCCCACCTTCTTCTCCTACATGCAAACTAAGGGGGTGACTAAGCATGGGATTCGCCCTTAAACGTCATGATCAGGCTGATGCTACATATAATTCCTCCTACAGGGGTTTTCTTGGGGACACTGGCCCTGTCATTACACAGGGGACTTGTCTGGGCCCGGCTTCCTGAGCAGGAAGACACTTTTATTTCTTGTTTCCTCTCACACCGGTGCAGATGCCAACAATGCAGGGATAGGAAATCTGAGGAGGAATTTGTAGACAAAAGCATTTTTGTATGTTAGGGGCCAAGAAGGCCGTTGGAAGATAAGGCCTCCTTTAGCCCTAAGCAAACAACATTTGGCTAACCATATATATTTCTTAGAAATGGATGTGCTTTTAAGATTAGCACAACGGCCAAAGGAACAGCATGACTCACCCCTGACCCCGGGGCTTTTCACCCTTGCTCCTGTGAAAATTTTTTCATTCCCTCCTTTCCCCTGTCCCTTCGGGTATATAAACCCTGCCTCACTTTAATAAAAGAGACCTTGATGCGATTCAGATTGGCTTTGTCTTTCTTTATGCGCCTGGTCTCCTTTCTCTCTCGCCCCCATTGGTTTTTAGGAGGTGTCTCCTCGGGCCTAACGAATAACTGAACCTGCTGGACGGGTCAAGTGGCACCCAACGTGGGGCCTGAGGCGGGTGGCCTAGGACGGCACTGGAGACGGGACCCCAAATCATCTAAGTGTGGAGACGCCCACATCGCATCGCTCTGCACCGCGGGAAGTCTTGGGGTAAGTTCTGCCGTCCCATCAACCATGGGCAAAACATTGTCTAAAGAGGCTTTATTTATAAAAGAAATGAAGGAAGCTCTTAGGGAGAGAGGAATAAGAGTAAAAAGAAAAGATCTTGTAAAATTTTTTTTTGCTTTGTCGGGGAAAAATGTCCTTGGCTAATTTTGAGTGGCCCGGACATTCTTCCCCTTACCTGGAGTAAAGTAGGGGAAAATATTAATGATTTAGCGGCTAAACGAGAAGAAATTCCCGAGGCCTTTTTTAGTTTTTATGGGATTATTAGAGATACTTTAAAAGAGGCAGAAAAAGGAGGAGATGGGGCCCACCTACTAATTTTAACGGAGGATTATTTAACTGAGTCGAGTGCAAACTCGAAACTAAGGAGGAGAGTAACATCACCCGGCTCACGTACACCTTCCATAATAGATGAACCGATCCCTGTGGCTCACTTAAGACCTCCTTTAATTCCTAACAATGAAAAGTCTGGGCCCCCCTCTGAGGACAAAAAGATAGTTGCCACCAAAAAGGTTAAAGAGATAGAGCCATTTCCACCAGCCAAACCTTATCAACAAATATACCCTGTTATTTACAAAAATCCCTCTAACGATGATTGGCTTGACCCCTCATCTGGGATAGATTTAGAAGAACAAGCGGCATGTTATGAGGCAGAAAGATATGGCCCTCGACCTTCCCCTCAGAGTTATACACTTACAAAAAATCAAAAAACCAGGACTCTTAGTTGGCCCTCCCCTCCACCGTATGCGGGCCTTTCTCTCCCATCTGCCCCACCACAAGAGATGCTACAAACATCTTTTGTCCCTTCCGAGGTTAAAGGTCTCCTTAAAACTAAAGATTCTCTTTTAAAACAAGTCACAGAATTGAGAGACGTTCTCCATTTAAAAAAGGAATTACGCGACCTTACTTCCCAAATTCAAAATTTACAAGTAGATCTCACCAGCGAAACTGTGATAACCCCTCACTCTGTTACCTCTGGTAAAAGGCCTGCCACGACACCTCCAGTCTTAAGAGGCTACACAAACAAACCCAGACTTAAAATGCAAACTGCCCCCCTCTTTTTTCCTGTAATAACTTGTTCTGGCTCCCAATCTCAAAATCAAGATGGACAGGCTGACACCACTGAAGAACAGGAGGAGGAACAAGATCAGGGTTCCTCTGCCTCTGAGGAGGAGGAAGACACCCAGGAAAAGATAAGAGAAGGTCAGGGTAGCCGGGCGCTGGTGGCTCACGCTTGTAATCCTAGCTACTCAGGAGGCTGAGATCTGAGGATCGCGGTTCAAAGCCAGCCCGGGCAGGAGAGACCGTGAGACTCCTATCTCCAATAAACCACCAGAAAACTGGTAGTGGCGCTGTGGCTCAAGTGGTAGAGCTTGCCTTGAGCTGAAGAGCTGAGGGACAGCGCCCAGGCCCAGAGTTCAAGTCCCATGACCGACCAAAAAAAAAAAAAAAGAGAAGGTCAGGGTAACATTCAGATTATATATAAAAAATTAAAATTTAAACATATTAAGGAATTACATTCAGCAGTTAAAAATTATGGGATTAATGCCCCTTTTACCTTATCGGTACTGGAGGGACTAGGGTGAGGAGGACACCTGCTGCCTCATGAATGGAATAACATTGTACAGTCCGTCCTGACCAGAGGTCAATATTTAACCTGGAAGGCTGAATTTATAGACAAGGCAGAGGCTCAGGCTATCATAAACACAAAACATGTTCAGATGGCCTCATGGACTTCTGATAAGATTACAGGAAGAGGCAAATATGCTTTAGAAGAAAAACAACGAAAACTCCCTGCAGGCAGCCTTGGCCGCTTGGAGGGCTGTGCCCGCTGCAGGGGCAATGACCACCTCCCTTTCCAAGATTGTTCAAGGCACTAATGAATCATATGTCCAGTTTGTTGCTAGATTAGAAGCAGCAGAAAAAATATTGGGTAGTGAGGATATGGACAATGTATTTGTTAAGCAATTGGCCCTAGAAAATGCCAATACGGCCTGTAAAGCTGTATTAAGGGGAAAAGCCAAAACCTTGGATCTTAATGGTATGATTAAACTTTGTAATGATGTGGATTCTTTTGAACATAAAATTTCCAAATCCATTAGCCTGGCCATTGGGGCCAGGTTTCAAGCTCAGACCCAACCTCCTGGAAAAGTAGGGCGGACGTTCAGTTCCTGAGGCTGGTTTAAATGTGGACAACTTGGACACTTTGCCAAGGAATGTCCCACCACCCTGACAGGAGGTGCCCCGCTGGTCGCCTCACAGGCTAACATCTCCAGAAGGCCTCCTCCTGGACTATGTCCTAAATGCAAAAGAGGCCGTCATTGGGCTAGAGATTGCAGATCCAAGACCGATGTTAATGGCCAACCCCTGTCTGCGGTCTCGGGAAACGGGCTACGGGCCCCGACACGGGGCCCTGTCAGTCCACCACAGCAACAAATAGCTTTTACCACCCACAGCCCGCCACCTGCCCAAGCAACAGTGACTCAGGCTTATGCCGAGCCACGGCAGGTAGCGCAGGACTGGACCTCTGTTCCCCCACCACCAGGATTATAACTCCAGAGGAGGGAAGGGTCATCACAGAATCAGGAGAATTTGGGCCTCCCCCACCAGGGATGTTTTTTCTTATCATAGGCCGAGCTTCAAGCTCTTTACAGGGGCTTACAGTCCTCCCTTCAATAGTTGACGCCGACTATTCAGGCCCATTGAAATTCTTGGTCCAAGCCTCCCAAGGTCCACTAACCATTCCTGCAGGTCAACGTATTGCACAAGCCCTCCCTTTGCCTATGATAGGACAATTCCCATATAAACATTCCCAACGCGGTACTTCTGCTCCAGGGTCATCAGACATATTTTGGGTACACCAACCGACAGAGTCTCGACCTACCCTAAAACTTTCCCTAGAAGGAAAACCATTCCTTGGTCTTTTAGATACGGGAGCTGACGCCACCGTCATCGCCCGAAAACATTGGCCTGATTCCTGGCCTTTAGAACCTACTACTACACATTTAAAAGGCATTGGACAAATTCAAGACACGCTTCAAAGCTCAAAAATTCTAAATTGGGCTGATTTGGAAGGAAATACTGGGACTATCAAGCCTTTTGTGGTAGAAGGGCTGCCTGTCGACTTGTGGGGAAGAGACATAATGACACAAATGGGAGTCATCATGTTCAGTCCCAATGAAACAGTGACTAATATAATGCTAAAGTCAGGATTCCTTCCCGGCAAAGGGCTAGGAAAACATGAACAAGGAATAAACCAACCGATTTTGCCTACCCCTAAACGGGATAAAAAGGGACTCGGGGCCGACCTTTTTTTCCTAAGGACCACTGCTCCCCCTGCACTCCGAGCTGATAAAATAACCTGGAAAGCTGATGACCCGGTTTGGATAGATCAGTGGTCCATGCCTCAAAAGAAGGTTCAGGCAGCCTTGCAGTTAGTGCAGGAACAATTAGAACAAGGACACCTTGAGCCTTCCACCTCACCCTGGAATACTCCCATATTTGTTATAAAAAAGAAAAATGGGGACTGGAGACTGTTACAAGATTTAAGGGAAGTTAACAAAACTATGGTGCCAATGGGAGCCTTACAACCTGGGTTGCCCTCTCCTGTAGCCATCCCTAAGGAATATTTTAAGATAGTAATAGATATAAAAAAATTGCTTTTTTTCCATCCCCCTTCATCTAGTAGATTGTAAAAGATTTGCCTTTTCTATCCCCATAGTAAATCATAAAGGCCCCAATCCTCGCTTTCAATGGCGAGTATTGCCACAGGGTATGGCCAATTCACCCACTTTATGCCAAAAATTCGTAGCTCAATCCATAGATCCCATACGTGTTCAGTACCCCAATGCATATATTATTCATTACATGGATGATTTGCTAATAGCCGCCAGCCAAAAAAACAGAGACACATCAGGTAACTCAAGCAATAATTGAGGCATTACAAAATCGGGGATTTTTTATACCTCCAGAAAAAAATACAGACCTGTTACCCCTTTTTATTCCTAGGTTTTCAGCTAGAACCCGCCTTGATTTATGCTCAAAAGATTCAAATCAGGAAGGATAAATTAACTTGTTTAAATGATTTTCAAAAACTGTTAGGAGATATTAATTGGTTGCATCCCTATCTCAAATTGACAACAGGGGATTTAAAACCTCTGTTTAGTATTTTACAAGGAGATTCAGATCCTACCTCTCCTCGAAAACTTACACCAGAGGCTGAAAAGGCCTTAATAAGGATAAAAGAAGCCATTTTACAACAAAAAATAGGTGATTTTGATCCCTCCTTAACCCTCTATTTGATTATATTTGCTACTTATTTTGTGCCCACTGGCCTGTTGTGGCAACAAACAATGCCCCTGTTGTGGGTACATGCTTCTGCCTCTCCACCCAAAGTGCCCCCCTCCTATCCCCTTTTGGTTTCCCAACTTATTTTTTCAGGACTCAAAACCTCTGTTCGGTACTTTGGCAGAGACCCTGATATTATTATTACTCCCTATTCCAAGGAACAAATTAATTGGCTACAACAGAGACAAAGTGAATGGACTATTTTGTGCACTGGGTTTCAAGGAAAATTTGATAATCACATGCCTAATGATAAACTTATCCAATTTTTGAATGTTACCCCCTTTATATTTTTAAAAAAATACTTTGTTAAAGCCCATTCCGGATGCCCTTACTGTTTTTATTGACGGTTCCAAAACGGGCAAAGCTTCATCCACAGGGACAAGGCATAGTGGAAAGGGCCCATCAAACCTTAAAAAATACCCTAAATTTGCCTCATAGGAAACATTATATACCTTTAAGAAAAATTATAAAATATTGTTATCACATGCCCTTTTTGTGTTAAACTTTTTTTTTTTTTTGTTGGTCGTGGGGCTTGAACTCTGGGCCTGGGCGCTGTCCCTCAGCTCTTCAGCTCAAGGCGAGCACTCTACCACTTGAGCTACAGCACCACTTCCGGTTTTCTGGTGGTTTATTGGAGATAGGAGTCTCTCCTGCCCGGGCTGGCTTTGAACCGGGATCCTGAGATCTCAGCCTCCTGAGCAGCTAGGATTACAGGCGTGAGCCACCAGCGCCCGGCTGTGTTAAACTTTTTGACGATAGATATTAATGGCAAATCTGCGGCTGAACGCCTCTGGCATCCTACCACACAAACAGATTATGCTCAGGCCTTATGGAAAGATCCATTAACAGGAAACTGGAATGGCCCCGGCCCAGTAATCATTTGGGGCAGAGGATCAGCTTACATATATAATTCTAAAGAAGGGGGAGCCAGGTGGTTGCCTGAACGATTGATAAAGCCATATAAGAAATCCCAGGTTAACACATGTAACCACCCCAGGGATTGTCCCTGAGAAATTTCTTTTTCTACTCTTTTACAGGAAGAATGCCAAGCCTCTGGATGCTTCACCTTCTGGTCTCTCTTCTGCCACTTGCCTATGTGGTGATGGCTGGTCTCGATCGACCCGTGGATACCAACGCCCTTCTCCGACAGCTGTATGGCCCTCCCTGTGATTGTCGAGGAGGAAACAGCCTAAAAGTTACTTCCTCCACCCTCAGCGTTGACTGTGGAACTAAAACAGCTTATTTGGCTATACACTCGTCCAATATAGGGGGATTTACACAAAGTTGGGTGTGTGTCAGTAAACCCACATTACACCCCAAGGGGAGCCCATGTCCACAATCCTGTCAATTTGTTGACCAAATGAATGCCCGATGCTATAATGCTTTTTCAGAGTGCACCCACGGGGGTAAAAAATACTTCATTGCTAAACCTCATTCCACACTGATTGGATCAGTTGGAGGTGATTGGTCTACTCAAATCAATATTATGGGCACCTCCAACAAATATGCCTCCGCCTCCTGCAGTGTCACTCCGGGTAAAGAGGCATGGATATTGACCCACAGACTGTTGATGTTTTGACCGCCACACACAGAGCTTTAAATATTTCCAATCCTAACTTAGCTCAGGATTGTTGGCTTTGCCTGGTATATGGAGCTTCTTGGCCATTAGCAATTCCGTCCTTTTTTAATAGTTCCATTAATGAGTCCTTTGTTTTCCCTTCCCCCAAGAATTGCTCTTGGAATGTTCCCTTTAAGGTCCAACCTGTTGGTTTTAATTTCTCCCTTTGCTTTTATAATCATTATCAAAATAATAGCTATGGTATTGATGTGGGAATGCCCTCTTTCTCTGTGTGTGGGGCGGTCATCAATGTGTCCACCCCCCTTTGCTCACCACAGAGTCAAGTTTTTGTCTGCGATAATAACATGGCTTATCCTGTGCTTCCCCAAAATTGGACAGGACTCTGCGTTCTGGCTACACTACTTCCAGATATTGATTCAATTCCCGGAGACGAACCGGTACCCATCCCTACCTTTGATTATTTTAGTCCCCGGCCCAAAAGGGCGGTACACTTTATCCCCTTGTTGGTGGGGTTAGGAGTGACTGGTGCCTTGGGTACTGGGACTGCAGGATTAGCCACTGCCATCTCCTCATACTCCAAGCTTTCACAACAATTAGCTGATGATATTACTAAAGTTTATCAATCTGTTAAAGACCTTCAGGATCAAATAGATTCTTTGGCTGAAGTGGTTTTACAAAATCGCAGAGGGCTGGACTTGTTAACTGCCGACAGAGGTGGTATATGTTTAACCTTACAGGAAAAATGCTGCTTCTATGCCAACAAGTCTGGCATTGTGAGAGATCGAGTTCAAAAACATCAGGAGGAGATTGAAAGACGGCGACATGAGTGTTTTGAGCGCCCTATTTGGGCTGCTTGGGGTGGACTTTTACCCTATGTTCTTCCCCTCCTGGGTCCCCTTGTTGGATTACTTTTGCTTATTTCCTTTGGCCCTTGGGCTTTTCAGCACCTTACGCGCTTTATAAAAAGCCCAAATAGATTCTGCCCTTTCAAAAAATTAGGTCTCGGTGCATTATCATCGCTTAGAGACTCAGGAAAACCCTGAGGGGGACACACCTCCCGAGAGAGGACTTCAATTCCATAAACTTCTACCCCGATAATTCCATACCGCTAGAGAACATCCAATGACGGGAATAGTGTGGAGCTTACCCTGGATGGCTCAACATACAGAGGCCGAACTGGCCGGCTCAACAAGGCATGTTGCCAGGAGTAAGGAAACCTGCCTTTGGAGAAACTATTCTTTAAAGGAAAGGGGGAATTGTTAGGGGCCAAGAAGGCAGTTGGAAGATAAGGCCTCTTTTAGCTCTAAGCAAACAGCATTTGGCTAACCATATATATTTCTTAGAAATAGATGTGCTTTTAAGATTAGCACAACGGCCAAAGGAACAGCATGACTCACCCCTGATCCTGGGGTTTTTCACCCTTGCTCCTGCGAAAATTTTTTCATTCCCTCCCTTCCCCTGTCCCTTCGGGTATATAAACCCTGCCTCACTTTAATAAAAGAGACCTTGATGCGATTCAGATTGGCTTTGTCTTTCTTTATGCGCCTGGTCTCCTTTCTCTCTCGCCCCCATTGGTTTTTAGGAGGTGCCTCCTCGGGCCTAACGAATAACTGAACCTGCTGGACGGGTCGTTTGTAGATTTAGGAAAAGGTGCCATACGAGGTTTCATTTAATAGTTGGCTAATTTTTTTTTATTTTACCAGAAATATCTGGAAATCAGAATTCTCATGCTGCTCAGAATGCTCACTTAGTCTTGGCAAGCACCTAATTTTAAGATAGCAACATTGTGCAATCCGAGGATTGAGACATATGGTCCAATGACAGGAAAACACCTGGAACTCCAGGGTTCTTCTGGTTGCATTTTATATTGATGTCAAAGTGGCCTCCCTATGGTAGACTCTTCCTCTGAAAGAATGCAAATGGTACCAATGACCTTGCAGCGATCCATTCTTCTAGGCTACTGTCTAGGGGCAAAAATTTCTTTTAAATTAAGACAAAGTTTGTTTCCTTTATTTCCCAAGTCATGCAGTTACAGGCATGCATTACCTACCAGCTCTGCTACAAATGCATACACTATTCACTTGGCTATAATCCATCCATCCATCCATCCATCTTCTCTTCCTCTCCTTTTCTTTCTGGTGGTATTAAGCTATGACTCCAGGTCTTTTACATTCAGGTTATTTTTGAGATAGGATCTAGCTTCCAGCCAGGGTATACTCCCGTACAGTCCTCCCCTGTTTCACTTCCTGCTGTAGCTGGGATGACAGTTACAACTACGTGCTTCTGTGCTCAGTTTCTTACAATCATTTCCTTCCAGAGGAACCGGGGGTGTTTCCAGGCTACAGTCTGCCACTGACCTCACTCTAATCTTTTCCTTTACTTATTGTCCACCTGTGGTCCTGGCTTCCTGAAGCACTTAGAGGAAATCCAGAAAATAAAACATAAAAACAGGAATAAAGACAGGAAAGGGGGGAAGGCAAAGTGAATGGAAATAAAGCAAATTATTCAGAGCATACTTCAGAGTAGAGGAGATGCTCTAAAGCTGTGAAAAGAACACAGCTTTGTCCTTCACGCCTAATCCTCAAGGGCTGAGAAAGCGAGTGAGAGCCTCCTATTACAACGGACAGAGAGAGGCAGCATAGGACAAATCACACTACTTCAACAGGCCCAGGTAGGGCTATAGGTGTGTTTGACAAGGAAAGAAATATTAGGAAGTATAGAAGGCTCCTGACCAGGGTGGAGGAGAGGAGAAGGAGGAGGAGAAGAAGGAAGAGGAGAAGGAGGAAGACGAGAGAGAAAGAGGGGGGAGAGATAGGTAAGATTATAATATTCAGTCTTGGAATCATTAGCTTCTCTCCTCATCCCCACTAAAGCCAAGCAAATAAGTGAAATCCTTCCATGGCACTTGTAAAAACTTTGCAATGAATCTGTTGTTCCATTCAGTCCTGGTGAGTGGCAGTTCACCACAGATCGGCACAGAAGCCAGGAGATGAGGTGCGGGGTACACATCCACGAAGGCAAAGCATCTGGGACAAGAGGACCAAAGGAAGGTGGCACCCACTCAAAGGGCTCTGTCCATGAGTCAGTGTTTTCAGGTATAAATAATTATTTGACTTTTTCAAGTTTGAAAAAAAAAACACAACTTAAGTGGGATCATTACCATCTTGAATATTTCTTGGCACACATAGGAGGAAATCATTAAATATTGTATAAACACGCACATTACTCTGATTGCTTGGCTCCAATGATTATTTCGATGAACGTCTTCCAAAAGAACTCAATCAGGGCGAAGTCTACAGTTGTCCCTGTCTGATTCCTAACGCAGGGGTACATGCCTGCTCTGTGCAAATGTCTGTCGCTTGAACAGAAATAATTATAATGACATACTTAATTATGCAAGCATATTATACAATACCTTATAGTATATAATGAATAATTATATAATTATTTAACAGTTATAGAAATAATTATAAACAAATAATGATGTCTCCAATGGCTCTAGTTCTATGAGGTGAAAACTGTTTTTGCCCTGAGATGTTGTTAATACATCCAATAGTATTTATCTTCAGCTTTGTCCTAAGACTGGTTTGTGAATTTCTTATTCATAAGGAAAATACACTTAGTTAAGAGAAAAGAGTTTGATAGAGTAAAATAAGACAAGACCCAGGGACAAAAACATGGAGGTTGTGATCTTACGAGGGTTCCTAAATACTCTAGGAGCATGAAGGACATCCCATTTCTAGGGTTGTGATTTTGTACCTCAAA